AGTCTTTCTGATTCCGGTTGAACTACTTAAAACACTTACTCACCAATGGACCAACTCAAAGTGACCCTTTGATAGTATTCACATGTGCAAAGATTCAGGTAGGCCCATTTTCAAAGGCATATGATCAGACACTAGGAATTAATGCAGTGATATTAAATTCTTTGTCCAGAAAACCACCAATAGTGGCTATAGGTAGTTCTTGTTTCGCCACTGTCTTGTTTAGCCACTATTCACAATTCTGGTGGTGATGAAAAAGCAACTTTATAATCAATTATCAGATTTGTGACTTTTTCCTTCTGTAACGTGAGGGAAAGCTGAAATAAGATTACAATCACCGTTTCATTCAGTCTTCGCTTTGCTTAAAGATTGAATTACTGGTCCCAGCTATGGTCACCAAATGAGACTATCTGTACTGTGTTGGGTTGCGATCAAGGAGTTCTTGTGGCAAGTCTACTTTCCACTATACAACTGAGTTACACTGACAATCTGGAGGCATCTGATAACCAGTTTCATTCTTTTGAGGGTGTTTTTTTTACACATGGATAACCAGATATTATTCTATGGGATTCAAGCTGTCTATGGAAATTAAACTTTCAGATCTTTACACTTCAGATAACCTCAGTACATTATCCTTAGCCCTATCCAGATACTGGGGCACCATGGTTGCAGGAAAAAATAGACCCAAACTTGGTTCCTTTGTGACAGTCTCTCATTCTCAGTTCCACCTTCCTCGCAGAATGGTTGAATACCACTGGAGAAAGATGGAATCTCCTAGAACAGGGGGATCAAAGTCGTGTTGTCACAGTGTCATCAAGTGATGTATCGGGACTTCCCCCCCTCGGTAAATAGGGTGGGGGTGGGGCCAGCACATGATGCATCTGACCCGCAGGCCACGAGTTTGACACCCCTGTCCTAGAGAATAAAGCATAATCAAAATATGAAATAACAACAACAGCGACACAAAATCCCACACAAGTTGCAACAATGCATGTGTTTGTTTGCTTTATTGCTTAAGACAACCAAGTTGTGAAGTGGAATTCTGCCATGCTCATTATCTGGGGAAAAATAGTGTTGGGGTTAAAACTTTAATATCTGCATCAATATAATGTATTAAGTGATTGAATTGAGCCACTTAAGCTTCTGGATTAGAAGGCTCTGCTTTAGAGTTAGAGTTTAGAGTTTTAGAATTTTATTGATTTGTATGCTGCCCNAAGAAAGAAAGAAAGAAAGAAAGAAAGAAAGAAAGAAAGAAAGAGATAGATAGATAGATGGAAAATAGAAGATAGATTGATAGATAGAAAATAGATAGATAGATGGAAAATAGATGATAGATTGATATATAGAAAACAGATAGATAAGATAGATGGAAAATAGATAGATAGATAGAAAGATGGATAGATAGATGGAAAATACACGATAGATTGATAGATAGATGGAAAATAGATGATAGATTGATAGTAGAAAATAGATAGATAGATGGAGAATAGCTGATAGATAGATAGATAATCACCCTGAATATTCAGTGTGCAAAGGCCAAAATAAATAACTCCTTGCCAAAGAAGATGCTGCTAGAAAAGAGGAGGGGCGCCCCAAAGAGCCCCACTCGGGGATCACAGCCCCTCCACCGACCCCCGTCCTTCTCCCCTTGGCAGGGGAGGAAAACCGGCGGACAGGCAGGCTCGGGTTGGAGCGCGCCCCCGTCCCCGCTCTCTCCAGGCACCTCTCCTTCCCTGGCGGTGCGCTCCGGGCGCGCTTTGGAGAGGCTCCGGGGGTCCCCCGCGCGCTCTGGGCGCACGGCTAGGGCGATCCCGGGCTGTGGCCGCGCGGCTGGCTGCGCCGCTTCTGCCTGGAGCCGGTGGGCGGCGGCGAGGGAGGCCGAGGCGAGGCAGCGGCAGTGCGGGCTCCGGGAGGCAGGGGGCTCTGTGGCTGGAAGGCGGCGGCTCGTCGGAAAGCAGCGCCCGGCTGGGTGGGAGGCGGTGTCAGCTCGCCCTCGGCCGCCGCTTCCCTCCGCCCTCGCTCGGCTGCGGACGGGCTGCTCCGCTTGGGATCTGGGGGGCCTCGCCTTTGCACGCCCGGTAAGGACCGACGGCTCCTGCGGACCCCGCCGGGCCTCCTCCTCCTCCTCCCTCCCACCCGCTGCCGCCTCTTCTTCTTCTTCTTCTCCTCTTTTTCTCCTTCTCCTCTTCTCCTGCCTCCTTCTCCTCTTCTTCCTCCGCCCCGCCGGGCAATGAAAAGCTGCTTCTGCCTGAAACGGGGGAGCCGCCACCAGCCGCCACCAGCAACAGTTAAGTGTCTCCCATCCACCCACCGACCCCCTTATCGAGGCCTGGCTGACCCCCCCCCCCGCCCCAACCACAACCATTGCTCCCCTCTCCCAGACTGGGCCCTGCGCCCCCTTCCTCCTTGCGCTCCTGCTCCCTCTTCCCTTCCCCTGCATAAACCTTTTGGGGTTCGTTGGGGGGAACCCTTCTCTCTCTCCCCCTCCCCATGCTAAACCGGGGAAAAGGAGCGCGGAGGCCTTGCATATGCTGTGTATATTTGAGGGGGGGGCTGTAACTCTCCCCGTTTCTTCCAGCCCTTCCCTTAAAGGGGGTGGGGACCCCTCTCCCTTGTTTCAGGGGCTAGAGTGGGGGAGGATGGGAGGGGGGTAAAGGGGGGGAGAGACCCCGCAAAGATTCAGAACAAGGGGGCTGGCTTTGTCTTGTGTGCCCCCCCACCCCCTTCCCTCTTTTTTCCAATACCAGGCGAGGAAAAATCTCTGCCAGCCAATCAAAGACCACAAACAGAGGGGAGGCCCGCCTGCGCTTTGAATCACAATAGCTCCCACCCGCCAGCTTCCTTGATGCTGTTTTTTGCTTTCCTGGGTGGTTTTTTGGGGGAGGTGGGGGCTTGAAAGCCCCCTTGTGTTTGGTAGCAGAAGACCCCCCCCCTTGGAGGTCAGCTTTCCCCCCCCCTCTGCTTTGTTGCATTAAAGAGGCGGGGACTTGCCTTGCATGACCCCAGGTTCTTCGCACGTGGGGGGTCGCCCACCCAGCTTCCTCCCACCCTCCTGGAATGGCACCTAGGTCGGGTGTCTTCCGGTTCGAAGCCCCCCCACTCCCCACTGATATTGACTCCCTGCTTTTTTAGTTCCGGCCTTCCAAAGGATCCCAGCTGCCTTGCTTTCGTATTTTCCAGTGGGAAAAGACCCCTTTGGGAAAGCAGGGGTCCCAGCGGGTCAAACAAGGAAGAGACCCTTTAAATGAGGAGGGGGGGGGAAATGAGCTCTACACACACACACACACACACACACACACACACGTGCAGCATTACTCTTGGGAACCCTGAAAGCTCAACAACAGGAACAGAAAATATCTACTAGTTGTGTTTATTTTGTTTTGTTTTGTTTTTATTAAAAAAAAATACTGCTACTGTTAGGTTAACAAGAGCTAATAGACTTCATTCTCCCCCTCGCCCCCCCAAAGAAAAGCTGAAGGGAAGCCAGGAAGGGCTACAGCATAAGGTAGTGTGACCTGCTGGTGAGTTGGGACAAGTTATCAATAGAATATATTCTAACGCAATATTAGCAACATATTGGAAACTATTCAATTAGTTGCTACAGGCTCCTTCAGTCAGCCTGCTAAGTCGCTGCCTTGTTTGTGACAGGGGATGTTGTCTTTGTAAACTAGAGCAGCAGTACCAACTGGTGGTCCATGGACCACTGGTGTTCCGTGAGGAAATGTTGGTGGTCTGCAGAAAAATTATTTGCATTTTTTATACGTCACAAAATCCGGGGTCCTCAAACTACGACCCCTGGGATGGATACGTGCAATGAACGCTTGTGTGGCTGCAGAGAGTCTCCCCCTTCGGGGTCTTTTTGTGAGGGTCGGAAAGGGGCAGAAATTCCAACTTGGGGCCTGCTTCAGCCTCCTGGTGGGGGGCTTTGGGCGAAGGCTGGAGGGAAGCGCCACTGGTGGCAAAGAGACAAAG